CCTACCACAAGACGATCTTATACCTTTTATTCACCCCAAAGACACCCCACTAAGAGAGATCCTCAGGGGGTTCTTCTTGAGAGCTTTTCGATCTCCAGCCCTGTTTTTAGAAAAAGAAGGCTTACATAACACAACCTTTAAAACCGTTTTCTTTCCCATCTTTCTTCACCCGAGATTGCAGACTAAAGGGCACAAGCTATCCTCAAAAAACCGCCAGGAAAAACCCCCCTAAACATTTCAAGTCTCCCAGTGGCGATTTTTGCCACGAATACCCCCCGGGCCTTGCTATGATAACATCAACGTTCCCCCATAAACACTCCTCTACAAAGACCTCACAAAAAACGCAGCCCCACACCTCTAACTTCTCAGCGGCGTCTACATATCCCCCGTGGGGTTCTGTCCCAAAAAAAATTTGTATTAGGTAAACACAATGCAACAGTTAGACAACTTTATTTTTCCCAAACGTTTCGCCTCAAAAAAAATAGGCTTCCCATTCGAATACAGAAGAGGCAGGAAAATAGAGATGGAAGACGATTAATCATCCATCACCCTTTAAAATCGAGAGTAAGACACATGTGCAAAAATCGGGTTTTTCTTTATTGTAAATTTCGCCTCCATGGCTTTATCAAAACAAATTTCTAGGCATAAATAAGACATAGAACATGTACAGAAGATAGGTAAAGTCCCCAAACTAGGAGTAGGGGGGAACAGCCCCATAGCGTGGAGATTCGAAGCAGAAGAAAGAAACCCGGCCTTATTAGAACGCAGGGGTACAGCGAGGGCATATTCACGGGGGGGGGATTCCCCATTTAAGTAGGTCCTTCCCCAAAGAGATGGGTTAGTTGTAGAAGTTTTCGTAGTCGTGAAGGGTTTTGTACTGTCCCAGAATTAAGATTCCATGATGTTGCGTGTCTGACAAGTTTGTACAAAGGTAATAAAAGACAAGATGAGAGAAAAACATGGCAACATCTGGGAAATTTTTTTTAGACGTTTCGCCACCATAGCTTTATCAATCAAATTTAGGGCATAAAATTTAAAACAGTAGAACTTTTACGAAGTGAGGGAATCAGTCCCCCAAATAAGTAGGGGCGAACACACCAAAATCGTGGAGATTTTGAAGCGAAAAAAAAATCCTGGCGTTATATGTAACGCAGGGGGGGAGACAGGGCATATTTTATGGTAGGCGGGGTTCCCCAGGAAGTAGGGCCTTCCCAAAGAGAGGTTAGTTGTAGAAGTAGTTTCGTAGTCGTGAAGGGTTTTGTCATGTCCTCAGAATTAAATTCCATGATGTTGCAGTGTCTGACAAGTTGTGTAGAAATGGTATATAATACCGACAAGATGAGAGAAAACACATGTCAACATCTGGGTTCTTTATTTAGCGTTTCGCCACCATGGTTTATCAAAAACAAATTCTAGGACTAACTTGAAGACAGTAGAACTATGTACAGAAGATGGGTAATCAGTCCCTCAAACTAGGAGTAGGGGGCGAACACACCATATCGTGGGGATTCTGAAACAGAAGAAGAATCCTGGCGCTTATATATAACGCGGTGTAGCAGACGAGGGCATTTCACTGGTAGGCGGGTTTTCCCCATGGAAAATAGGTCCTTCCAAAAGGGTGGGGGGAGTTTTAGAAGTAGTTTCGTAGTCTGAAGGTTTTTACATTTCCCAGAATAAGATTCCATGATGTTGCAGTGTCGACAAGTTGTGTCGAAAATGGGATATAATACCGACAAAATGAGAGAAGACACATGTGAAATCTGGGGACTTTATTGTAAAAGTTTGCCACCAGTGGGTTTATCAATCAAAAATTTTAGGGCATAACTTAAACCGTAGAACTATGTACAGAAGATGAGGTAATCATCCCTCAAAAATAGGAGTAGGGCGAACAGCACCATAGTCGTGGGATTCTGAAGCAGAAGAAAAAATCCTGGCGCTTATAGTAAAAAGTCAGGTTCAGACAGGCAAATTTCCCGGTAGGCGGGATTCCCCCGTGGAAGTAGGCCTTCCCCAAAAAGATGGGTTAGTTTGAAGTATTGTCGTATCGTGAAAGGGTTTTTTTTTTGTCCTCAGAATTAAGATTCCTGATGTTGCAGTGTCTACAAGTTGTGACGAAAGGGGAATAAAACCGACAAGATGAGAGTAAAACACATGTGCAACATCTGGGTACTTTATTTAAAGTTTCGCCATCCGGGCTTACAACATCAGGGGAACTTTTAATTCAGGACATGTAATAACCTTCACGACTCACAATACTTCTAAACTAACCCATCTCTTTGGGAAGGGCCTACTTCCACTGGGGGAAACCCGCCTACCAGTGAAAATCCTGCTGCTACCCTGCGTTACTAATAAGCGCCGGATCTTTTTCTGCTTCAAATCCCACGCTTGGGCTGTTTTCACCTACCTAGTTTTAGGGGGCTGATTTCCCTCATCTTTTGTACATAGTTTTTACTTCTTCAAGTTTTGTCCTAGAATTTTTATTTAATAAAGCCCTGGGTGGCGAAAAAGTCTACAAAAAAAATACCCCAAAGTTGCACATGGTTTACTTCATTGCAAAGAAAAGGTATAAAATACCGACAATAGAAAGTTAAGACACTTTGGGGAAAATCTGGGTATCTTTATTGTAGTAGACGTTTCGCCACCAGGGGTTTATCAATACAGATTCTAGGAAAAATATGAAGACAGTAAAAAACTTTTAAAACAAAAGATGAGGTATCAGTCCCCCCGGCCTTGGGGTTAGTTTACACTAACTCCCCATTACCCATCTTTTGTATAAGTTCTATGTCTTCCTATTTTGTCCTAGAAAACTGTAATGAAAAAGCCACTGGATGGCGAAACGTCTACTACAATAAAAAACCAGATGTTCACATGGGCTTAAAATTCATATTTTCGTATTTTTTTACCCTTTTTTTGCACAACTTTTTCAGACAAATGCAAAATCGGAATCTTGGTTCAAGGGGCATCTACAAGACCTTTTTCACGGCTGCTGCAAAACCATCCTTTTGGGAAAGGCCACTTTCCCCTGGGGGGGTCCCGCCTACCAGTGACTGACCCCGTCTGCCCCGTCCCATTCATGAGCCTATAAAAAGCGCCAGTCTTTGCCTTTTCTCCAAATCCCTCACCCGATGCTTGAAACTAACTCCAAAGGCCCAGGGACTGATTACCCATCTTTTTTTTATATTTTTTACTGTCTTTTTATTATGTCCTAGAATCTGTATTTATAAAGCCACTGGATGGGGAAATCACTACAATAAAGAATCCGATGTTGCACTGTGTCTAACTTTCATATTGCGTATTTTTATACCTTTCTTTGCACAACTTGTCAGACACTGCAAAAAAATCATGGAATCTTGGGTTTAGGGACATCTACAAGACCTTCTTCAACGGCTGCTGCAACTAAACCCCTCTCTTTTTGGGGAAAGGACCTATTCCATGGGGGGTCCCCCTACCAGTGACTGACCCTCGTCTGTGCCCGTCCCATTCACTGCGCCTATAAAAAGCGCCAGTCTTCTTGCCTTTTCTCCGACTTCCTCCCCACGATGCTGTGAACACTAACCCAAGGCCCAGGCTGATTACCTCATCTTTTTTTAATAGTTTCTACTGTCTTCCTATTATGTCCTAGAATTGTATTGATAAAGCCCCTGGAGGCGAAAGTCTACTACAATAAAGTATCCATGTTTCACAGTGTCTTAACTTTGTCTTACTCTCATCTTGCGGTATTATATACCATTTCGCACACCCTTAAGTCGTAGAATTTGAGGTTGTCATCCCCGGCCGGAGAATTCAGTTTTCCCTGTCAGGAACTACTGACATGGAACTGAACTTCTCCAGGCCGAGGGACTGACAACCCCAAATTTTAGACTTTAAGGGGGATGGACTGATTACATCGTCTTCACATCTTAGTTCCTGCCTACTTTCTGTATTCGACTGAGGAAGCCTACGGTACGAAACGTTTTGGAATAAAGTTGCTAACTGTTTTCTATGTGTCTACCTAACAACCTGTCGGTATTGTATACCCTTTTGATGTTCAAAAAATAGTAGGCGAGCAGCAGGGAAACTTGCAGTCCGCCTGAATGAGCATCGAAATGCCTCAACAGAGACGTGTAAGGGACGCCTGTGTCCCACAGAGACTCCCGGGGCATTTGATGAACGGAACGAGGCACAACCCGTTCTCAAAACCCAACCAACCCAACGCCGACGGGGCCTGAACCCATAATCCCCGTCACCCACATATAGAACGCAAACCCGGAAATACAAAATTTCAAAAAATTTTATCATGAACTTAAGCAGCCCAACCCAACACCAGGAGTCAGTGATTTCATGCTACCCTCGCCTCGAAAGGGGGCCCGAGGCCTTCTACAGGTTCCTCCTTTTTTGTTCTTATACATTCCCCAGGTCACGTGCGTCACATCTCACTCTCCGCCTATATATATAATGTCTTTCTACCTCTGTATGTTAGAAGTGATCAAGGTTCCAGGACCGAAACGTTTTCTAATAAATATGTTATAGTGTTTGCTTACGTGTCTTTCTAAACCAACATAAACAAAGATATTAATAAAGTACTCAGGGTGTCGAACTAAGTAAGAACCAGAAATAATGGATTTAAGTTGGATAAATTTAGATTTAGAAAGGATAAGAGATTGGACAAATATATGAGTGGGAGGGGCTGGGTTTGATTGGTGTCATTGGGTATGGGAGTTAATTCTTGGGTAGCTTTGGGTAGAGGTCGTTTTGATAAGGACCTGCCTTGTATGGGCCAATAGGCCTTCTGCAGTGTTCCTCCATTCTTCTTATGTTATGTGTGCGTACGTGTGTGTGTGTATGTGTGTGTATGTGTGTGTGTGTGTGTATGTGTGTGTGTGTGTGTATGTGTGTGTGTGTTATGAGATATCTAATATTTCTCTCTCTCTAAACACTGTCAAAGTAACTTAAAAAAAAAAAATCACCAGAAAATAACTATTTGAAGTTTTTTTAATATTTTTTTAATACTTTTCTTTCAGAATGACTCAGAGTCTGGTGAGTAAAATTCTGTTTAAAACTTTCAAAATAATGTTAAGGTTTTTGTTTGTGATGTTGGAAACATTTTTTTGATAAAATTAGATACAGTCGGAGTTGTATTTGTAAGAATTTTCTTTGTGATTAGTAAAGTTATTGTTATATTCACTAAAAAGCGTTAAAACCGCAGGGATCATCCAGCGGCTATTCTTATATAAACTACCTTACGTGATTTATTATTTACGGGGCGGACAACCAGCGATAGGCTTCTGTCTCATGACCAGTGTCCTCGGTCTCATGACCAGTGTCCTCGGTCTCATGACCAGTGTCCTCGGTCTCATGACCAGTGTCCTCGGTCTCATGACCAGTGTCCTCGGTCTCATGACCAGTGTCATCGGTCTCATGACCAGTGTCTCTGCGGTCTTCCCCATGACCAGTGTCCTCGGTCTCATGACCAGTGTCCTCGGTCTCATGACCAGTGTCCTCGGTCTCATGACCAGTGTCCTCGGTCTCATGACCCCGTGGTCCTCGGTCTCATGACCAGTGTCCATCGGTCTCATGACCAGTGTCCTCGGTCTCATGACCAGTGTCCTCGGTCTCATGACCAGTGTCCTCGGTCTCATGACCAGTGTCCTCGGTCTCATGACCAGTGTCCTCGGTCTCATGACCAGTGTCCTCGGTCTCATGACCAGTGTCCTCGGTCTCATGACCAGTGTCCTCGGTCTCATGACCAGTGTCCTCGGTCTCATGACCAGTGTCCTCGGTCTCATGACCAGTGTCCTCGGTCTCATGACCAGTGTCCTCGGTCTCATGACCAGTGTCCTCGGTCTCATGACCAGTGTCCTCGGTCTCATAACCAGTGTCCTCGGTCTCATGTCGAAAGTCTTCGGTTTCATGATCAAAGGTCTCGGTTTCATGGTAATAAGCCATTGTGTAATGACTGAATGCCTCCTTCATGATCAAAGGCCTCGGTCTTACGATGAAAAGCTACTGTCTCGTGGTCATAGGCCTCGGTCTTACGATGAAAAGCTACTGTCTCGTGGTCATAGGCCTCGGTCTTACGATGAAAAGCTACTGTCTCGTGGTCACAGATCTCGGTTTCAGGATGAAAAGCTACTGTCTCGTGGTCATAGGCCTCGGTCTTACGATGAAAAGCTACTGTCTCGTGGTCACAGATCTCGGTTTCACGATGAAAAGCTACTGTCTCGTGGTGACAGGCCTCGGTCTTACGATGAAAAGCTACTGTCTCGTGGTCACAGGCCTCGGTCTTACGATGAAAAGCTACTGTCTCGTGGTCATAGGCCTCGGTCTCACGAAGAAAAGCTACTGTCTCGTGGTCATAGGCCTCGATCTTACGATGAAAAGCTACTGTCTCGTGGTCATAGGCCTCGATCTTACGATGAAAAGCTACTGTTTCGTGGTCATAGGCCTCGGTCTTACGATGAAAAGCTACTGTCTCGTGGTCATAGGCCTCGGTCTCACGATGAAAAGCTACTGTCTCGTGGTCATAGGCCTCGGTCTTACGATGAAAAGCTACTGTCTCGTGGTCATAGGCCTCGGTCTCACGATGAAAAGCTACTGTCTCGTGGTCATAGGCCTCGGTCTTACGATGAAAAGCTACTGTCTCGTGGTCACAGGCCTCGGTCTTACGATGAAAAGCTACTGTCTCGTGGTCATCGGCCTCGGTCTTACGATGAAAAGCTACTGTCTCGTGGTCATAGGCCTCGGTCTTACGATGAAAAGCTACTGTCTCGTGGTCATAGGCCTCGGTCTCACGATGAAAAGCTACTGTCTCGTGGTCACAGGCCTCGGTCTCACGATGAAAAGCTACTGTCTCGTGGTCACAGGCCTCGGTCTCACGATGAAAAGCTACGGTCTCGTGGTCTTAGGCCTCGGTCTCTTGACTAACGGCTTCCCTCAGCGAGTTAACATGACAAAGTCTCACGCCAAGAGAAAATTTCCTTCATTTTACTATCAAACAAAATACTACACACACTTCCAACTTTACTTGTGTATATTATTACATTAATAATATACAATACCGACAAGTTGTTGAATAAGATACATGTCCAACACCTGCGTAACTTTATTACTAAGATGTTCCTCTAACAAGATATTTTTTCAATTTATTACAGAGTTCCTATACTGTAGGCAGTGGAAGATAAGGTAATCTGTCAGAGGTAAAGAGATTGATCAAGGCTGAAGGACTGAACAGTTCTGTCCAGGTTGTGGGACTGACTATCTTATCTTTCAGTGTCTCCAGTATATAAACACTAGTTGGCGATGACAGGAATAGGTGCAGACCTAACTCTCGTGGTAATGAGTGAAATAGAGCAGGACTAGTTTTTAAGGGAACCACAGAAATTGAAGCTGAAGGTTTAACTAATTTGACAAAGACAGCCGCAAAGGTATTGTAGGCCTCACTGTTGTGGTAATGACAGCCACAGAGTGAAGTTTCAAGCCTAACTCTTGTGGTAACGACAGCCATGAAGAATGAGGTTGCATCTACTGACGATACACTTGTTTCGAAAAGGTCTTTGTTGCTGTGGCTGTTATTATCGTAGTGCCGCTGCTGGGGAAATATTAGAGGAAGGAGCGGTAGAGAACAATTTAAATTCTGCAGACACAAAGTAAAGCAAGATCAGTCGACCTGAGCCGTGTTGCTGCTCAGAGATTCCTGTGATATTAAAATGCACTGTGTTTATTCGTCTCATTATTATATTATTGTCATACACCTGCCTGGGCTCTGGCATTTATCTTAAAATTTGTATATGTAACTTGTATTTCCTCTTACTAGAAAGGTTGCATAAATCCTCTTTATAATAGTTACCAGTGTTTACTAATACTGCTGCTATATAATTTCTATATAACGTATCGTCTGTGTTTATTACTTCTGTTATGTAACGTATAATCGACTGATTGCTAATACTGCCATGTAACTACTAGATACGCTTCGGTGGCTGCGCATTTTAATGTTCAGTCCGAGGAAATTCTTTCCTTGTTCTGTGACCCAGTTCTCTGTACCTCGCTAGAAGCGAAAGGAATAATTACAGATAGCGGCATAAGTCTCTAGTGCAGTTAAACATCAGATTTAAACATGACTCACGAAATCGTAATGACACGTTTGCAAACAAACCATACCACGGGCGGGGATAGAACCCGCGATCAGAGAGTCTCAAAACTCCAGACTGTCGCGTTAACCACTGGGCCAGCTAGCCACAATAAGATTCATCCAACTAGGTATATTTCTACACCATAGGAAGGTTAGCATAGGCACCACTGTGACCACAAATGCAGCTTGTGACCACAAATGCATTTGTGGTCACAGTGGTGCCTATGCTAACCTTCCTATGGTGTAGAAATATACTTAGTTGGATGAATCTTATTGTGGCTAGCTGGCCCAGTGGCTAACGCGACGGTCTGGAGTTTTGAGACTCTCTGATCGCGGGTTCTATCCCCACCCGTGGTATGGTTTATCAGAGCTAAATATATAAAACAAATCAGAAGAATCATTCACAAGTTATCACCTGGAAACTAATATCCCAATTTCTTCCACAAAATGGAAAAATTGGCTCTTAAACATCCCCAAACCAAGTCACACCTTCCACTACATAAGATACACCAGTTTTGAAAGTTTCAAGTTAATCCGAAGAGACATTTTCTAGTTATCTTACAGTGAACAAAATCACAAAATATACAATTTCTTCAAGTTTGAAGACAGTTTCAAACATTGCAAGAGCATTTTATAGAAATATTCAGAAATTACGATGTAGTATTTCAGAATTCATTAGACAGGTAAGTTGGTTACAGTTTTATCATTTGAGAAGCAGAATTTTGTTAAGGAGCTTTAATTTAGATGTTAAGTACATACTATGTTGATAATTATATTGTGTTGAAGAAAACGTACTCTGTAATCCTGCTACGGAGCTGGTATGTGTGTAGTTGAATGTCCTTAACCAGGAATGTAAGGTCAAAATACTGGTGCTTGTAAACTGGTTACCTGAAAATGATTCTGGGGATCATTGCCCTCGCGGCCCGGTCCCAGATCAGGTCTTTCTATTGATGACCATGGCACGAACTCCGTGAGCACAGCAACTACGTTGATGAAGGATTTTACTCAGGACTTGTTTGTGCACTTTGTACCACCAACAAGAGTTAACAACAATTGAATAATAATGATGTTTCAAAACTTTCTACCAGAATATATTGCTGTATCAGCGGCCGAATTCACCACCACTAACTTCCGCTGAGCGGAGAATGTTAGTTAATTGAGCTTAAAACCTCTCGACTAGACAAAGGGTCATTAAAGGCTGCATGTCACCTGTTCTCCATCAGTCAAGATTACTTTAATCCCTAAAATAAGGATTACAATGTACTGTGTTTATACACCGATATATATAAATTCTCGGTATATATATTCTGTGACTATATTCTGTCGCATTCTGTATAAGCAACTTTTTTCCTTCAACAATTTATGTAGGTCGCACCTTCGTGTATGATACCACGCAACACATATATATAGACTCCTCTTTAATTATAACTGTTATTATTATTGGAAAACTAATGTGTTGATAGAATTAAAAGTACTTTTTATAGCAAAATATTCCTGAGGCGTTATCTTCTCTCAATAATACTGACCACAGATCAGATTTAGACAGTTAAATGTTTGAGCAGTAACTACCCAGTGCTGAAGTTAGACACAGGCTGTATAAGCTACAGCCTAGAGCCTCATTAAGACGGACCTCTAAATACGGTTGGATGAATTAGCATTTTTGCCGGCTTCAGTAAAGACAAACACACAAGTTGCAGAACAAACTTTCTTTGGGACATCGTTTCCCCTAAACGTTGCAACAATACAAGCTGGTTCTGCAACGTGTCTTCACATTTCTCCTAAACACTGCAACAATACAAGCTAGTTCTGCAACGTGTCTCTATATTTATACTTGCCGGCAAAACACCATTTCATCCAGCTCATGCAGACAATGCTGTAGGTTAGGTTAAGTGTTTCCTGGCGCGGGTCTTAGTCATATGATGACCCGCAGTTGGAGCCTTCCGCTGGCTGACCGGTCCACCTCTTTAAATATTGCTGTAGAATGAAGTGTTAATTGAGACGATATACCAACCAACTCC